CTGCTGCTCCCCGCGCCTGTCGGCCAGCCACATCCCTCTCAATATCTCCCTGGCCACAGCCTCAGGCTGACTCCCATCCCATCTTGATTTCTGCTGCTCCCCCAGGGGCATGCTCTCCCTGCCTTCTCTTCCAAAGCAAATCTGCACCCAGTAGTGGAGGTCCCACCAGATGACAGCTGCTCCAGAAAACCTCTCCCACCTGTCCAGCTACCCCTACCCCCGCCACCCTGAGGGCCACCTCTGAACTCTACCTGCCCCATCACCATGAATTTGCCTGAATCCCCAAGCAGACCCTTCAGAAAGGGTGTGGGGGGGGGAATCTTCTCTAGCTGCTCACTCAGACTTGGATGTACAATCCTGAATTGGCCACTTACTGGCTCTGTGATCTTAGGCAAGTAACTTAACCTCTCTGAGCCTCCAGTGACTCACGTGCAAAATGGGGATAATAACACCTACACGCGTAGATAATCTGTCCCAAGCGTGAGCTATTCCCTCCCCTCCCTGCATCCCCCCCCATTCCTACCTGTCTTCAGGTACCCCGTAGGCCCCTCTGCTGGCCTTACCTCCAGGCAGGTCTTACCTCCACCTGGGAGTGCACGACCTGGGCCCCAGGAGCCCCCGGGAATGTGAGACTGTGCAGGAACTCACTGGCTGAGTTGGTCATGTAGTTGTAGCTGCCGTCAGGGACATATGCTGTAAAGATACAAGTACTGACGCCGACACCCTGCATGTTGCATCTCTGACACCAGGCTGGGCCTCCCACCAGAAGACACATCTTCATCAGGGCCTGGGAGGGCAAGCATGGAAATGAACCCGCTGTGCCAATGGGGAAGTTGAGATCCAGAGAGGCTCAGCAACCTGCCCAAAGTCACACAGCTAGAAAGCAGAAAGACCAGGACTGGAACCCAGGAGTGACACAAAGGAGGAAGAGGAGAGTCACCTCAGCAGGGGACTCTGAACTGGGAGAGGGTAATTGTCCAGCCCATGCACTCACTAGGCCTGCCTGGCCCAGGAGCCTGGGGGCCAGGCAGGTGGGGTGGGAGCCTCATTCTGGGGGCCTTCACTCCCATGGCCTCCCCACCCCGGAGAGCCAAGAGGCAGTACCCACCCACTGTGAGGGGCTGATCGCGAAGCTCCCTCCACAGCTCAGCCCGGGCTCCATGCCGATAACCTGCGATGTCCGCATCACCTTGCCCCATCTCTGGGGGCTGCCCCACCAGGAAGTCCTCCCTTCTCACGTTCCGGGCCATGCAGAGCAGGATGTCAAAAAATAGAGACAGCTGGGACAAGGGTGGGAAGCACTGCTATTAGTGGGTTCCTAGGCTGAGCTGGGGCGGTTCCATCTCTAGAGATGCTGACATAGAGAGGGGAAAGGACTGGCCTGAGGTCACACAGCCAGGCTGCCAGTGTCAGTGCCTCTTGCCCAGGCCAGGACCTGCCAGTCCCCAATCCCAGTCACCTGGACAGGCCGGGCTCCGGAGTCCAAGCCCATGTAGGTGCAGGCGTCCAGAGGCGGGCTCACATGGGTGGCCAGGAGGTGCTCGGCAGTTTCCACAGAGAAGAAGACAAGCCCAGAAACCTGGAGGGGGCCCCCACAAGGGTCAGCTGGGAGACCCTGGGGCCAGCCTTGTGCCTGAGTTGGGGAGGGCCGTGTGCAGATGGGCCAAGCAAGGCTGACTGCCACACCGGACAGGATCATTCACCTTCTGGGCCACTCCAGCACCCAGACTCCAGGCTTACTGGAGGCAGCTCCACCAAGGGCCCCTCAGCAGGCAACTTCTAGGACCCCCTCAATATTCAGGTCTCCTCCCAAACACAGTTCTCCATCTTCCCTATAGTCTAGTCCCAGGCTCTCATCCACCACTCGTACCTTTGTCCTTCATTCTAGAAGGATCCCCTGAGTCTGGTTCCAGCCTTTCTCATTTGGGACAAGACCCTGAATTCCAAGGCTACCCCCTCCTCAGATTTTGGCTTCACCTGCTCCCCTGAATACCAGTTCCAGATCTTCCTCAGATTCTGGTTCTAGCCTTCCCCAGAAGGAGTGGGGCTCTGCCCTGGCAGCCATACCAGTGGCACCCGCCCGTCAGGCCTGGCACATCGTTGTATCTCTGCCTCGGTGCCTTGGTAAATAATGTCCAAAACGAAGCCCTACGTGGGAGCAGAAAACAGAGTTAGGGAAGGGAGCAACAGAGGATTACGAAAGAGGGCATGCAAGGGTGTTCTCCAGATGTAAACCCAGGATGCAAGTCTGACAGGCCCCAGCATACTCCTGGGGATACAAGTGCCTGAGACCTCCCCCACCCTGACAGCAGAGGGCAGGCTTCAAATGTCTCCACAGCCCCAAGCCTGGGCACAGAGCCTGGCACGGGATCAGGGGCAATTCATGTTTGGTAAAAGACTAAGTGAGCGCAAGAGCTGCTGCCATGGGGCGAAACTCCTCCAGATCCAGACCATGCCAGAAAGTCCAGGACGAGGCCATCCCAGGATGGCTCAGCTGCCCACGCTGCTACCCCAGGGGCACTACCTGGGAGTCCGTGAGGTAAACACCATGGTTCCGGGCATAGGTCGTGCTCCCCGGAAGGGCAATCACTCTGGCTCCCCGGAAGCTGTCCCAGCTGATCCCTGCAGGTGGGGGAATCAGGAGGCTCTCCAGGGACCCCAATGCAAGGAATGGGGGAATCCCTTCCAGGAGGAGGGCAGGGGAATCCAGGCACCTCTAAAGAAAATATGGTTTCCAAAGCCAAATGGACATTCCTCTGGGAGAATGACAACACCTCACCCCCAAAGTTTGTCCACAGAGCCCTTTGGGGCAAAGGGGGCAGGGCTGGGTATCTCCACTCTACGGACAGGCAGACTGGCCCAGCAGGGGAAGCCCTGCCTCCTGGTCTAAGCTCCATCCTTCAAACCTTAGAGCTGCACTTGTGAACAGGGCAGCAGGCCAGGCCCAGAGACGGGGTGGGTGAGGAGAGGCAGAGCCACGTTGGCTGTGGCTAGGGAAGGCAGTCCCAAGCCTTCTCAGGCTCACCTGGGTTTGGAGGAACAGACAGCAGCATGTCGGTGCTGCAAACCCACACGCCTGGTGGGGAGCCTGGGCCCAGCTGTGGGGAGAAAGAATGAAGCTGGTGGCCGGGCCCAGCCCTTCCTCTGCTCCCACACAGCACAGCCTCGGCCTGTTCCAGGGAGACTCGGGCTGCTGAGGTAACAGGGGCCTCCCTATATCCATGATGCCGATGCCAGCCCTCCCGCCTACTTCCTGAGGCCATACCTCCCCCCAGTGCGGCCAATACTAACATCCTGAAGCTCTAACTAACTCCAGGTACCCAAAGCCATTGTTCCTGGCATCCCCTGTCTGAGCCAGCACAGACTATGGCTGGTGGCTCAGCAGCAAAGCAGCAGGACAAGGTCCCATGGCAGCTGCCTGTCTCACCCGATGGCTCATGATGTCCAGCAAGCAGTCCAAGTTGCAGACCACGGCCTCCACAGGGGCCTGGGGGTTCTCCACAGGGAGGCAGGTGAAGGCCCGGCCACAGTCATCGAAGGGGAAGTCTCGGCCCTGGGGCGGGAGCAGGGACAGGCAGAAGAGCTTGAGGCAGAGAGCCTGGGCAGAAAGCCATCAAGCTAGAGGACTTTTACCAAGTGTGTTCTCATGTGATTTTTTAAATTACATGATTATGTCAAAAAATTAGCAAATGCAGATACACAAAAAGAAAAACAATCCCTCAGGGATAACCATTGCCCTCATTCTGAGGTTATGCCCTTTCATATACCTCATATGCATACTATTTTTTTGTTGTTGTTTACAAAAATGAAAAAGACAGAGACAACAGAATTTCACACACATACAAGAGTACAAGTCAAACTGGAGAAAGATTGGGACCCATATCAATGTCAATATCCTGGCTGTAATTATACTATAGTTTTGGAAAATATGACCATTGGCGAGATCTGGGCAAAGTTTACAGAGGCTTCCCTCTGGATTATTTCTTAAATGTGGATCTACAATGATCTCAATCAAAATTCCAATTAAAAAGGCTGAGATGGGCTTCCCTGGTGGCGCAGTGCTTGAGAGTCCGCCTGCCGATGCAGGAGACGCGGGTTCGTGCCCCGTTTCGGGAAGATCCCATATGCCGCGGAGCGGCTGGGCCCGTGAGCCATGGCCACTGAGCCTGCGCGTCCGGAGCCTGTGCTCCGCAAATGGGAGAGGCCACAACAGTGAGAGGCCCGCATAACGCAAAAAAAAAAAAAAAAAAAAAATGCTGAGATCATTCTATACAAACTTGTGTGGCTGGCCTTTTTCACTGAACAATGAAAATATATTCACCGATGCTCACAGTGAACCAGGCCAGGCCCCAATTTAAGCCTTTGATGGGTCATCTCAGCACATCCACATGAAGTAGGAACTGTTGCCATCCTCATTTTACTGATGAGGAAACTGAGGCCTGGAAAGAGTCAAGTGACTTGCCCCAGGTCACAGAGCTGGTCAATGCACAGGTCGCTGCAGAGAGTTAAATGGACCTTTCAATCATTGTCTAATATTCCACCAGGAGGATATGCTGTTTATATTTAACCGGTTCCCTATTTTGGACACCTGGATTAATTGTATTTCTGATTCTTCAGGATTTGCACAATGTCCACTGGCACACAAAGGCAGAAGACCCCTAAAGTCCCATCCAAACTCAAGGATTGACCATCCTTCTGCATGGCCCCTGTCCAGCATTCTACTGACCATGTGCAGGATGAGGATCCAGGCCGAGTGCAGAACATCTGATGTGACCACCTATCAAAAGTGGAAGAGCACTGTTCACAGAGGTCTGGGCGGATGGCACCCTCTTGTGCAGGGAGAGACCCCAGCACAAGTCCACACAAGAACCAAAGGGGGGACTTCCCTGGTGGCGCAGTGGTTAAGAATCTGCCTGCCAATGAAGGGGGGCACGGGTTCGATCCCTGGTCTGGGAAGATCCCACATGCCGCGGAGCAACTAAGCCCGTGCGCCACAACTACTGAGCCCGTGCGTCACAACTATTGAAGCCCATGCGCCTAGAGCCCGTGCTCTGCAACAAGAGAAGCCATTGCAATGAGAAGCACGCACACTGCAACGAAGAGTAGCCCCCGCTTGTTGCAACTAGAGAAAGCCCGTGTGCAGCAACGAAGACCCAACGCAGCCAAAAATAAATAAATAAAATTAATTAATTTTTTTAAAAAAAGAACCAAAGGAACAACCAGCAAGGTCAAGACCAATGGCCACAGGCAGGCACGAGGCAGCCCTGGCCACTCCTGGATAAGGAAGCACAGCAGCCTTCCAGTTGGGCCACTCCCCTGTCCCCTGTTTTTAGGGAAGGCTGCAGGCGGGAACGTGGGGCTGGCTAGCGGGTGACTCACAGTAAGTCAGCTTCATGGCAACCACACAGTGGTCCCCTCCCCTGCAGGTGCCACCCCCACTGCCAGAGCGTGTCCATGCCTGTGACCACCCTCACTGCCTGTGCCAGGGTGCCATGCAGGCAAGGTGACCTCGTGAAGTGGCTGGGTGTGTGTGGGACGTGGGCCCACGTTCTACGCACTGGGGGCCACTGCACCTCAGTTCCAGCAAACCACTGCTATGTGGGAAGGAGAGTCCAGGGTAGCAAGATGAGATTTCTCAAGGGAAGCCAGAAAGCCTAACTCCTAGATACTGGCTCTGACTTTCTAAAACCACTACAAAGGCTGCCCCTGCCTTCTGCCTTCACCTGGACGAGTCTGCTCAATCTACAGATGCAAAAACTGATGCCAAACCAGAACTGGGCAGGAAAATGGAGCCCGAAGATCTGGGGACCTTGGAAAGGCTCTGTTTGAAGCCCCCATCCCTGCTGTGCCCAAGGGGGCACTTGAGGAGCACTCACAGTGAAGCCTGCACGGGCACTCAGGTGCTCAGCAGCCACCAGCAGGGCGTTGAGGGTAGCTCCTCCACTGCCCACACGAACCTCAGGGTCTTCCACGGCCAACAGCAGCGTCCTGGTGGGGATCTGCTCTCGCTTCTGCCGTATCTCCAGCTCTGCGGTCAGAACATGACTGGGACCTGTCCCCCAGCCTCTCCACCCTGGTCCCAAGCACCTCAAGCAAACCTCCTGACAGCCATTATTTAATCTTCTTTGATTTAGCAGCTTTTCATCTAGTAGCTCATTAGATCTTTTCCCAACTCAGTGAGGTAAGTACAATTACTCCCATTGCACAGATGAGAAAACCGAGTCTCAGTGAAGTAACCTATGTCGGAGGTCACGTGGCTAGGAAGAAGCAGAATCTGGGTTTGAACCCGGGTCTTCCCAGCTCCTGGGGCTGTAGGGGTATGTGACAAGGAAAGGGGAGAGGGTTCCACATTAGGGGCAGAGTGGAGAGGGAGGTCAACTACCTCTCTGGAAGACCTCGACGCTGTCCTTGTACTGGCATGTCAGGATGATGACCGTCCAATCAACCCCCTTCGGCTGCTCCATTCTGGCCAAAGTTGAGGAGCTTCCAGGGCAGAGATACGGGTATATGTGAATTTGTTTAAAATTATCATACCCTAAAATTGATTTCTTTGGTTGTAAGTAGTTTTATGAATTTTAATACATGTATAGATTCTTGTGGTTACTACCACCATCTGCATCTAAAAAAGCTCCCACATGCTAACCCTTTACAGTCACACCCTCCTCCATCCCTCACCCCTCTCAACCAGCCATCTGTTCTCCAAAGCTATAGTTGGAATGTAATCTTTTGAGATTGGCTTCTTTCACTCAACATAATGCCTCTGAGATTCATCCAAGTTGGCTATGCATATCCATAGTTCTTTCTCTTTTTTTGCCAAGCAGTATTCCGTCGCATAGACATCGCACAGTCTGTTTCTCCACCCACCCACTAAAGGACACCTGGGCTGCTTCCAGGTTTTGGTAATCATGAATAGAGCTGCTATAAACATTCATGTGCAGATTTAGAGTGAACATAAGACTTCATCTCTCCAGGCGGACACCTAGGTGTGGGATTGCTGGGTCACGTGACGAGTGTATCTTTGACTTCATCAGTCTGGGTGCATGACATTTCCTCAGGAGAGGAAGTTAGGGGAGCGGGGCGGGGTTGACAGGGGGTCCCACCTTAAAACAAGGGGCTGCCCTTTCTGCACCGCAGGCCCCTCATCATCCAATCATTGGCACTGAGCTGCAGGGAGGGACGCTCTAACTTCTAGGCTCCCGAGGCTGAGGGCAATTCCCCTGAAAAGAGGGAAGCTCTGGGAGAGGTGCACCAGTTTGTTCAAGCGCAGCATGCTAACAGCACCCACTACAGGGACCTCAGAGGGGACCTCCCCTCCCAGAGGCTCCAAGCCAGAAGGGGGCTGCAACCCCACCTTTCAGCCATCTTCCTCCAGGGCACTCTGAGCAAGTGAGGGGAAGGTGAAGCCAAAGCTATGGCTTCACCCACTCCTATCCCCCAACACTCCTTTCCTACCAGATAAGAAACCAATCTGACTGCAGAGGCCCTGGCCTCCCCAAGACCCCTGTGGACGAGTCCCTAGGAGTGCGCTGGCATCTACCTCTGGCAGGGTCCCAGTTGCTGTCCCATGCAGCAGCCCACCCCCACCTCTTCCCTCCAGCCCCCAAAGCTCAGTGTGGGGAGGGCCGGTGGAGTGAGCTGCATGCCACCCCAGAAGTGCCCTGAGCACACGTCCATCTGCAGTCAACCCGAGCCGGAGCCAACAGGAAACCTGAACCTCAGGAACGGTTTCTTCCTATGCCAGACTCTGCTGCCACCAAGCCTATGGTTAAGGCTGACAGACACTGCCACTTAGCAACGCTCATACTCCCACGAGCTTTCAGGGAAAGCTTCCACCACTAACAAAAATTGCTCTGTTCCCTGTTCAGCTCAGGAGGGAAATCCAGAGGGGAAGCCTGAGCTAGAGATCTTGGCTAGGCATCTGAGGTCAAAGGCATTCCCCAGGTTACCCATCTGGCCTTCCCAGTAAAGGGGGTGGCTGGGGACTCCAGACTGGCCGCCAACTCCCTGTGTGATCTTCGGCACCCCTAACCCTCTCTGGCCTCCTGTGGTAGGGAGTGTAACGGATAGATGCCCCCATCTTGTTCACACAGAGGCCATGCTTCCCACCAACCAATGACATGAAGACAGACCCACTCCTACAAGATGGGGATCCTCTGACAGGCACTCTTGGCTCCAGAACTCCCCATCAACCCAAGAGAAACTGTCTTACAACCGCACTGCAGTCTGAGAGCTTTCTACCCATACCTCCTTTCTTCCTTCCGGTGCTGTCACAGGAAGCAGAACTGAAAACTGACAGCTCTCCCTGCTTCCTCCAGCTCCCTCCTCTTCTTCCCTCCCCCAATAAACCTCTTGCAAGTCTAATCCCATCTTGTTCTCTGCTTCTCTGAGGAGCTAAACCAACATGAGAGTATATCACCTTCCTCTTGGGACTGCCAAAGGAAAAATTACTGTAAGAACCTCTAAATTAAAGTCTGGGAAGTACTTTCTTTATCCTTAAAGATGAAGAAACTGAGGCACAGAGAGATTAAGTGACTTGACCAAGGTCACACAGCTAGCAAATGGTAGAGCCAAATTTGAACCCAGACACCTTTTTTCCAGAGTCCATTCTCTTAACCCCTACACTGAATCTACTTTGTAGGCTGGAAAAAAGAACAGACGTACTAAATATATGTAAAGTGCCCAATACAATGTGACAATGAAATGGGGATGGCATTAATGATAATAGCCACTAGAAGTGAGCTCATCCACCCATTCTGACCCATAGTTAAGACACTATGATTTTTCATCTTCACAACACCACTGCCAGGTAAGTATTCTGTCCACTTTACAAATGCTAGTTGATGCTGCATCCGTGACTGGGACCTGGGTGTCTCAGATTCTTATTTAGGTGATGGTGATAATGATGTTTGATCCCAAGCAAACGTGCTAAAAGAGAACAAGGAAGAAATGCCCCAAGGAGAGTCCAAAGGTCTGAGCCCGGTTTTGGCATAGTGACTGAGAGTCATGAGCAGATGACAGGTCACAGGCAGAGGAGGGAGGATGGCATGATCTGGACTGTACTCTACTAGAAACTGGAGCAGAGGAATAGTCCTGGGCTGGGAATCAACCCCCAGAGGCTGTCCCCAACTCTCCCTCTTCCTGTGTGATCTTGAGCAGGTTACTTAACCTCGCTGAGCCTCAGTTCCCTAACTGAAAACTGGGGCCAAGATACCAACCTCCTAGGATGGTTGCATTAAATAAAACAGAAAAATATGTGGCACACAGCAGGATCTCAATGAATGGTAGTTCTCTCCAGTGAGGAAAAGCAACAGGAGAGTTCGACTTGACCCTGGAGCAGGTTGGAGCGAAGGCTCTGATATATTCTCTGGGTCAAAGATGCCCCTGTAGAAGAAAAAAATCAGGGAAGGCCTGGGAAAATCAACCAAGGCTAAGTAGCATGCCTTGCCCAATCAGACTAAAGGGTATTATGAGAACACGAAAGGTGGAACAGTACTGGTGGCATAGGGAGTGTCTTCTTCAGGCACCACGCCAGAGACACATTGAAGTATCAGCTCATGTGACCCACTCAACAGCCCTATGAATTGAATTTTACCACACCTACGTTATATTTAAGGAAATTGTAGCATAAAGAGATGAAATGGCCTGCCCAAGGGCATAAACAGCTTCTACAGGCAGGTCAGGTGTATCCAACTCCAAGATTCTTGTTCTTACCCACCCTGTGGAAACAAGACATCTTTCCTGGAGTCTTTAACCTCTGTCATACCTGATATTTGTACAGAAATCTTACATAATACAGGCCTCTATCCAATATTCTGCACACTTCCAACAGAACTTTATCTACTGAGGCCAAGTTGAAATAGTTATTAATGTCCTCAGCCACACGCTGCCTAAAATTAGGATAGGGAAGGGGAGCCAGGGACAGAATAAAATAGTAAGGCCTCTTCATATTTGCTTTCTGAAGAGAAGTGGGGCAGGGATTTTGCATTTTAAGGGGAAAAAGTGGCCCCACGGAGGAATCTGATTTGTCTTCTGGGAAGCGAAAAAAGGCAGAAGGAAGGTGATTGGGAGTAAAATTACATTGCAAATTACACAAACGTCATATAATTGAGATTTGTGGATAATGACGAGCCCCGATGGGGTAAACGGAGGCAGGAAAAGCGACCTCAAAGGAAAAATCACCAGCGCCAGCATCCAGAGGCCCACCTGCCTGTGGTCTCTGTCCCGGGCGTCCCCAGGTCCCGGAGCTCCTGTAGAAAGACCCAGGCCAACGGGTTGAAGGACCCGCAGACGCCCCTTGGAGCAAGTGGGCGCCCAGGGGCTGCTGCAGAGTTCCCCGACG